AAGATGACATCTCGTAGCGCTGGTCTTAGCCGCCTGGGTTGGGCACCTTTCAAGAACTCCAACACTCTCTGTAGGGCCGTGGCTACTTCCCCGCGGTGTATCCCCGAAGCTGAGACGGCCACGGTCACTGCCCGCAACAGTGCTCGTGGGAGTCTGCCGGCGATCTGCCCGCTCATGAAACCCAAACGACCGCGCATCTTCGCCCACAATTTGGGGGTGAGCGAATCCGATTCGATGATTTCCTGAAGCCTTTCCACTGCATCTTGAAGCCTTTCTTCTGTGTTTGAAACAAGAACAGTCCGATCCTCATCCTCCAGGCACGAAAATTGCACTCCCAATGCTCGGAAAGTCGTGTGCAAGTCTTGCGCCTTATCACCGTCTCGGTCGAAATCGAAACCTAACAAGGAAAACATGATGTCGACGGTGGTCGAGGTGGAGTTTCGAAGCTCCTCACTGCTGAAAAGAGTGAGATCATCGTAGTAAGCGGTCATGGGTAGTCGAAAGAGGACGTTCCCGATGTGGCACAGGGCGAGGGAGACTCTGATAAAAGAGTGTACAGCTGCCGTAGCACCGAAAGGCAGGCACAAAAGCCTGAAAAACACTACCTCGCCTGTTTCCGGGCACTTGACTGCGATGAAGGCTTTGTCAAGCGCCTGCTCCTCCAGAGGTAGTTGGCGGTAGGCCGCCTTGAGGTCCAACGTTTTGCCAAAAACCTTGCCCTTGTGCAGTCGGCGAAACATCAGCAGTGCTGCTGTAATGACATCTGCATCATGCACATGAACTTTCCCGTGCGATTCAAAAGCCATGTTGATAAGGCTCTGGCTCAGGTCGTCGATCGGCCTAAGTTTGTGGCCTTGTTGGACGCCAAACCTCTTGCTGATCAGCGCGTCTTCAGGCAGGTCGGCCAGGCGGGGCCTTGTGACCAACCCTTGTCCCTCTCCTGAATGGACTTATCCCAGAGTTCTTGAACGAATCTGCAGTTCTGGGCAACTTCTTGTATGATCTTGTCATTGTTGTCGCAGTGGAGGGCACTCAGATCCGCATCTGTCATGAGCGCTGGACGAACGTCCGGTTCCCAACCTGCCGGTAGAGGGAGGCTCCCTGTCAAGGGGAAACCTTTGAGGAAGTCCTCTCCGATAGCTTTGTCAGGATATGCTGACGCACTCAACATCTCCTGAAGGAGAAGGATGCGTTTACTGCGGAGTGAGTCCCGGATATGCTTCGGCAGGGCCTGTTTGGCGATCTGTTCTTGGGCCTCCAACGCCTGAGCCCGCTGCGCCCATCTCTTGCACTGTTGTACCCTAATCTGCATGACGCAACTGGGGGACTCCGCAGCCACCTGCTCGATGGTACGCTTAAGAGGGTCCGAAAACCCCAGGCCAAGATGACTCGGGTGGCCTACCTTGCGCGCCTGTGCACAGAATTCCTGGCATGTCCAGGGAACAGATACGTATACCTCGTGGTCCTCCGACAGGGGGCTGATCAGAACTTTCTGAGATGCGGGCAGCCACTGCGGCCGTCGGCAGAGGGCTGTCGCTGGGTGCCATCCCTTGCTGGCCAGCAAGTTCGTTGTCCTGGATTTGAATTGAGCCTTGAATTCAGGTACAAGCTTCTGGGCTGCTGCTCGTTTGGTTCGGTTGCCTGCAGTCAACGAAGCCATTGAAGGCAGGCTACTCTTCGACTGGACAGTCTGCTGGGGCGCAGGCAACAAACCCTGTTTGAGCAGGGCTCCTATTGCGCACTGGGCAGCCGCCTTGCAGAATCCGCTTGGATGCAGAGTCTCCTCGAATCCATGCGTGATCCCATGCTCGTCCTTCCATTGCTCATGATCATGTTCTCCGTCACACTCACGGGCGAGTGCATCAAACTCCCCAGTGTTCGCTGCCAACGCCATGCGCCTTCTATGTCCAGCACCGAACATGCACGCATGACTCTCAAGCACCTTGGTGCATCCCACGCTCAAGACGCCAACCATTTCCTGGCCGAACCACATCCAACTGCGGTACGGGTTTTGTATAACGCACATGATGCCCAGGCTGCAGCACAATTGCCAGACTGTCGCACTGAAGCCGAAAAGCTGATTTGCTGCTTGGACCCTACACAGTTCGTCCTCCGTCAAAGTCGGCAAACCTTCCGGGTGCCGAGCATCCCTAAGAGGTGCTGAGTTCTGGGGCCCCGGCAGCTCCCTTGCCCTGGAGCTAGTACCAAGGGGGGGTGTCATCCACACCAGAGCCAAGCCTGGTGATTTGATCCACCTAAGGATCATGCTCTGGCATTGCGGTTTGAGCATGTCAAGTCGAAGCACCTTCGCCTTGCGGTCATGCCGCAAAGAGGATTCTACACCAAAGCTCTTGGTAAGGCCAGCTGCCACCATAGCGGCGGTAATCCCAGCAGAGCCCGCGAACAACTCCAGGCACCAAAAGTCCTGCATGTGCTTCGTGCCCGACGGCGGGCTCCCACACTGCAAGTGTGTCGCGTCGCTGGCTGATGGCGGATCAACAGACAAGTGGTCTGATGTTGCCAAACTAGCCACCGCAGTATCGCTGATTTGAACTACAGAGCTCTCCTCATTGGAGGCTGAAAAGTGATTGGGAGAAAAACTGTTCGCTGCACCCTCATGTAAGCTCCAGTCGGGTGCCTCTCCAACACTTGAGTTGGTCGAAGTGTGACACATCGAATCAAAAACCGCAGGTTTGTCTGAGTCAAAATTCGCAGCTTTGTCTGAGGCGCTGACAACCGGCGGGGCCTGCGCACTCCACTGCTGTCCCTTGGTCGGGAGGCTGCCATCGCTCTCCGACGCCGAAGCGTCATCATCAGCGACAGCAGGAAGCCTGATCGCCCCTCAGGCCTTCTTGCCTGGGTGGTCAATGAATGCATGCTTGCCGAAGCAATTGGGTCGGCAGCACACGTGCCAGCCCTTAGCGCATTTGCCGCCCAACGGAGCGTCCTGGCATTCACCGAGGTTGGCACCGAAGCAGATAGGCTCGCCTTGAGGCGTAACGGCCACACCACCTCTCAGCTTGAAAGGCATAGGCGTCTGCGACCCTTTGCCTTCTCGTGTCCATTGGTTCCAACGACGGCCCTCTTTGGAACCCCACGGGTCCTTGCCCCCGCCATGATTCTTGCCACCCTTCTCTTTTCCTCTCCGTCCTTTTCCCCAGAACTCGGATCTGGCGAGTTTCTGCGGCTGGCCGGCCTTGCCGTCCCATGGAATCTGTCGCTTCCACCGAAGCCCTTGCCTTTGTTCTAATTGGCGAATTGGTCCGCTCAAAGCATCCCGAGAGTAAGCCAGGTCACTCATGGGTCCTGTGCTATGGTGTGCCAACAATGTCTGCGTCTCACCGTGGATCCCAAACCTACTGAGCCAACCCAGCACCGTGTGCTTGAGACAGTGCGACGTAGTGCGCTGTCGGGTGGGATCACTCCTCAACAGCAGTCCATGCAGCCAGTCCGACGCCTCAGCTGTGTCTATGTGTCGTTTGAGGAAGGATCCCTCTGGTCCTGGGGCCGGGAGCAGTGTGGTCGCTTCGCTAGATCGATACCTGCTAACTGAGCAGCATGGCGCCATTCAAGTGCCCAAGAGAAGTCGGGGCTGACTCCCTGAATGGGAGCCACCAATGGCATGAACATCGCCTTCTTTTTCTTAGCTTGGCTGCTCTGCTTGACATGGCGTGCCCTTGCTTCTACGTAGCCAACAAGCCGTCCAGCTACTTCTGTGACATCGAAGGAGAGGCTGTCAATGCACGCTACATCGCTCCAGCGGTTCCGCGCGAACAATTGGAAGCACATGACCCCTGCAGCAAACCTGTCGATCGGGTCAGCATCCTGTGCACGTATAGCTTCTTCCACCTGTCGCACCTCGCTAACGGTCAAATCACGGGCCTGGTTTTGAGGCAAGTGCTCTCCTGCAGAACGGTCTGCTGCACCCACCACTCGTGGTGACAAAACCGCCTCCAAGTTGTGACATCTTAGCACATGCTGGGCTAGGCGCAGAGCTTGGACCGTCCCGAGGGCTGCCAGCTTCCCTGTTGACCTGCAGGTCAGCTCCTTCAGGAAAGCATACAGGGTCGGCTCCGGAGGCATGAGCGGTTCGTGACTGTCTACGCCTGGTCTCAGCCACTTCATAAACCTGATAAGAGATGTGGCTCGTTTGAGTGCAGTATGGGGTGACTTAACGCCAAAAACATCTCGGATAGAGGAGAGAGCTTCCTCCTCTTCCATGCTGCACACACTCTGGACAAACTTACCAGCTGAGGGTGACGCTAGCATGAGCGTCAACCAGAGTTTGACAGCTCGGCCCCACACGTATTCGCACTTCTCATCGAAGTCTCTGTCAGGCTTGCGCCTGACTGCCTGCAGGAAAATGGCCTTGTCAGGTTTGACTACTCGGCACTGACGCTTCACCGAGTGTTGCGCCGACAGCTCCCTTAGTGGGAGTTCCGCTTGACCATACATGGTGGGGGTAGGTAGGTCATCGCTTGTGATCGACGGCCTGGAGAAAATTTCTTGAAAAACTCCCGACTCCCAAGGCAGTCTGATGACTGGCAACGTGGCTTGCTCAACAATGATATGCTCACTCACTCCGTCTTGTGTAGCCTGTACTGGTAGGGCCGGCGCAATCGCCTCATCGGAGTCACTTTCCGACGGGACTTCTAGGGCTCTCATGCTGCAAGCCAACTCACGATGCATAATCATGCGACCTCATGAGCTGACCCTGCACCGAGTCTGGGGACCCGCAACTGTCAGTGGGGAGGGGGGGTGATGTGCAATGGCGGACTCCGACCCCTTATTTTCTCACACCTCTGTCCGACCTCGCTTCAAAACTGTCAGACAGGCCAGAGCTTGTCATGGCTGGAAACACACCCCTCGTTGTCGCCCAAATCTGGGGCTCCTCATCTAGGCCGGCCACGTGCAGCCGATGGCACGCAGAATCGCATGCTTGGGGTGGAGGATGATGTGTTGTCCGCTGCGCGCGGAGCCCACGTCTTTGACAGCCGCCATCATGACCGCCACCCCACCTTTGGTTGTGTGGGTATGCTAGGCTTCTCAAGCTCGCCCTGGTACACGAAGATGACTCCCTGTTGGCCTTTGGAGTGGGCGGCCGTTTTTTGAAAGGCCGCCTCAATGGTGCCAGGATCTGGCGCCTCCAGCGACCCCCTTCCACTGAATCCAAAACTTGGATAATCCTCCGGCTTGGAGTCATTCGGGCACACCTCTCCATGAAGCCCGATGCCCACCGCGGAGACGAAGCCGGTGCCGTGGGCCATGACCAGGTCGTGCCGATGATCTTCACACTTGGTGTAGCTCGGGCCTGTGATCATGGTCGAAACGATGATCCCTTCGGCTCCTGGCATGCGGGTGCGCATGGCATGCAGCTTGCCATCCTCGCCCATGGGGGATCTTCCTCCGTCTAAGAAGGCTGCAAGCACTGCTGCAAGCCTGTGGAAGGTCTGGTCGGGCATGGAGATGGCGACCTCATTCAGGGCCTTCTTGCAGGCTTCCACTGATTCCGCCGAGACCTCTCCGCGCGCCTGGGTCCAGGTCATGCTCCAAAAATCTTTGAGCCGCCCCATTTGAACCAATTCCCTGGCACTCAGGGGACGATCCACCGAATGGTTTGCCCGCTCGATGGCCTCCTTCCAAACTGACGCCGCATAGGCCTGGTCTTCTCTTTCAACGTCCCGCTGGGCCTGGCGGGACAGGTCCTCCTCCGCCGCCCCTGATCAAACTTCCCTGTCTGCAAGATCAGGGGGACCCCAGGCGTTACCGCCTGACCTTCTCCTGGGGCTTTCTCATCACGCTCCCATTTGTTCCAGCCCTTTGGCCATTTCTCTCTGTCTCCGCCCCTTTCTTCTGTGGCCACCTGTTCTTCTGCTGCCAGTCACCCTGCTTCCAGGATTGGCCTTTCCACTTGTCAGATTGCCACGAATCCTTGTTCGTCCACTGCCTCTGACCCTTAGAACCGTAGGACGCTGGCAATGTCGCCGCGGTGTGCGGGGGGGTGACCGCTGCCATGGCCTGTGCCGCAGCTTGGGCCTGTGCCGCTTGGGTCACCAGGGCAGTGTAATGATTGACATCCACCTGAATCATCCCTTGTGCCACGGAAGACGAGGCCTGGGAGGGGCTTCTCCGACCTCTTCGGCTTCTTGAGCGACGCCTCCTCGGCTCGTCGCTGGAGCTGCTGCTCCTGCGTCGTCTCCCCGTCTGCTTTCTTTTGGTTGACTGGGGGCTGGCACATTGGGTCCGTACCCAAATGGCATCATAGGCCACATGATTCTTGAGTCCCTTTGGACTGGGGCCTTCGCCCTCTTGATGCGCCGCTCTTTTCTTTTAAGGGCCTTTGCCCGGAGATCCGACCCTTGTCGATCCTGTTGGTTCCCTGTGGAACACTCGAGCCGAGGGAGATCCGACTGAGATATGCTGAGCTAAGCAGAAATCAAGTGCGACAGGATCTAAGCTGTCAAAGTCTGTTGTCATTCCCTTTTCCTTCTCATTCATCAGTGCCTCGCTAAGTCCCTTTGGACTGGGGCCTCTGCCCTATTGATGTGGTTCTCTCTCTGTAAGAGGCCTTCCCTAGATGGTCGACCTTTGTCGACATCATGAGCCTACTGCACAAAACTCTAGCCAGGGGCCGAGCAGTCCCGCACTGCACTCCTGCACAGGTGACAAGATTCTGGTGCGCAGTCAGCCATACCCTAATCATACTCTGTTCTCAACATGCATACTGCTCTCATCTTTCATGAGTGTAAGGACTGGGCCTACGGTCATCCCTCAGATATCCCTTGCAAAATGCCAACGCTGGACACTGAGGGGGCGGCAACCTTGACAGTCCTACCGATACTGCAGCAAGCAAGCACACTCCACCATGTTTTCAGTTATGCAGTAAGTCAATCAATGTCAATGCAGCCACCTGGATTTGCTTGTAGACGCCAGAGGCTATGGTTTTCCGTAAAACACTCGCTGATGCACACATTCGAATCGTGCGTCCCTGTGGTGCTTGACCCGGGACGGGAAATGTCCAAAGAGAACTCTTGGTAAACAAAAGATTCAAACTCACCATTCGCTCTACGCACTTGTTCAGTCCATGGGGGTGCAGCATCTGTGGTTTCATGCTGAGGCCACACTATGGATGTGACTGCAGACCAAGGAAGATGATGAGGAGGATTTGGGTCTTCAACATACAAATGTAAGAAGGCCTGGAGGAGTTCACCCTTTAGGTCCTGCAACGCCAAGCTGACGAGAGCTTCAGGTGTGTCACATCGGATCGACGAGCCTGGCAAGCCTGGCCTGCCACTGATTTTCCGTGAATCCAAATCTTTTGGGGTTGAGCATGCCAAAATCCTCCAGAACCTGTTTCTGCAGAAACTCCGTCAAACCACCTTCACGCATGTGATCGAGAGCTGCAGCGTGTAGTGCCATGGCATAGATTTCACAAGTTCTCAAACCAAAATCTTGAGACAAGAACGAAAGAATAGCAGCACTGGCAGCAAGACCTAAATGCATGGGAAGTCACAAAGCAACTTCTTTGCAGAGGCAATGCGACAACTGCCTGGCGTGGTTTGACAACTGCCATGGTCTCTCCTCGCGCCATACTGTCGCAAGGTCCTCCAAGACAATGGTAAGTGCAATTAGCCAAAGAAAGAAACATACTCGATTGCACTAAGACACAAACTTCTCGGCAACTTGCTTACCATACACTCTGTGCCACTAATGGCAAGCACAGCTGTCTAATGCAGCTCCATGTTCCAGTCTACTCGCTGCCGGCCGGTCTTGCGGTTTTACGCCTGCCATCTTTTGCAGCTGCTTCAAACGCGTCTTGGAAAGGATTTTTGTAAGTCGGCGACAAGGAACTGTCTCGGAGTGTGAGGTATCGGAATTCTTTTAAGATGCAATTGATCACGACACCAACTGCAACGCAAAGCGAATGCTCGGGTTCGCCACTTTCCAAAATCCATCTTCTCTTGCCCCAGAATGATCGATGCACTGTTGTCCCCAGTTAAGCATCCCTGAAGGTCTTTGTGCAACAAATCTTTCAGAACATAGAGAATACAAATTGGCGGGCGCGACCTCTGGAGCGGTCAAAATTTTTGGTTTCTCTAAGGACGCGACCTCTGGGAGCGGTAGTTTAAAATTGCTTTTCAATCTTTGCATTTTTCGCACTTTAGACTTGGAAAACATGCACTAACTTTGAAAAACAAGAAAGACCAACATTAAACACTAGAAACAAACATAGTCCAAACGAAAACACTTTAACACCATAAAAAGTGAGTCCAACCAGAAAAACAAATCTAATATTGGTTCAACCGCCCACTAAAACCAGATTTTGACCAGAAACACAAAAATTAAACCAGATTTTACTGGAAACATTTCTTTAATGTCAAGAATGCTCCTTTAAAACCGCATACCACAAGAAAACATTTATTTAGTAAAAACATTTAAAACCACACAATAACTGAAAAACAAAACAAATTAATTAAAAACGTGGTCAAACTTGTCAAACTGCATGTAAACAATTCTGCAAGCGAAAAACGTGCATCCAAACGGGTTCGACCAGCAGTCTTGACTTGACCACGCTTTTGCGGTCTGCATTGGAGTGGAGGCCCTTGCCTTCTTCAGCCAATGGAAGGACAGACACAGATCCATAACTACAACTTCAAAAAGGCAAGCTTCCCGGAGTTCCGTCAGCAGGGACATGCAAGTGCTTCTGGAGCGAGAAGACTCCAGGGAAGCTTGAGAAGCGAACAAGCATTGCAGAAGCTTGGTGTTCTCTTGAGCTCTGCCAAGAACACACTACATCAAGTGAAGAGGCCGACCTGCATGGTGCTGAACTAAGAGCAAAGCAGTTTGAGAGCAAGTCTGGTTGAGGCGTGCGCCATGTGGCCCGAGAGAATGCCTGGCTTTTGAAAAGGTCTGATACCTTGCATCTGCCTTAAATTCCATGCTGCGCAGGCTGTTGCCATTCTATGCTACAAGTAATTGGCCGGAATGTCTTGTAGCCATGAATACTCTTGGTTAAGAAGTGCTCTTTCTTAGTATCAACGCAACTGTCCGTCGAACAAAACACCTTGATCACAAGTTCCATCCGTTCACAAAGGTGTTCAGAACGAAAGGTCTTCTTCACACACTCTCTTCAATCCACACGCAACCAACAAATGCTCAAGTACCAACTTCTCAGAATATTTCGTCAGTCCATCGGCTGGGCTGGATTCCGTTCTCCACTGACCTTCCAATCAGGGAGGCAAAGCCGAGTGTGGCAGGAGCTTTGCTGCCGTGTTTGCGATGGACGCTGACAACTTGGAAGATCATGCGGAGTGTTCGCTTAAGTTGAATGACTAAGAATGGAAAAGCTTTGTACCGCATGCTGTGAGTGTGGGCATAAGCGTCAGACACAAGAAAAGCATGCATGAAGAACAGTAGTTCCGCAGATGCTTTAAATGATAGTTTGACTGTGGGCTGGCTAGAAGCAGATGTTGAACTTGATGAAATTTCTTTTGCTCCGTCGGTCGCCAACACGAATTGTTTCGCCGGTTCTTGCAAAAGGCTGCGTCTGTCACACTGATGGCGCAAAAGCCAACCGCAATCTGGCTCGAACACTTGAAACTGGGACACCAGCGTGAAGCTCGACGGTTTTTTTTTTTGCATGTGTTGGCAAAACCGTTCAACTGCGGATTGCTCGTTTCACGACATCTGCGAACTACTGTCCTTGTCTTCAAGATAATGCAACTTCCAACGCCTTCACGCTCAGGCTGACCGAGGACTGATCAATTAAAGGACAAAACACTCTGCAAATTGTCAAACATGCGGAAGACTTCGAACCGCTGCACGCATGGCAAAATGATGTGTTGGCAGGTTTAAATAAGACTTTTTTGCTTATTTTTGGGAAAATGCGGCAAGTCCGCAAATGGACAATTGTAAATCGAAGAAGGACAGCGCACAAAGCAGCAAAAAGAAAGGTACAAAGTGGCCAACTTCCCTAGAGGGCAAGGCCAGCACTTCATGGTAGTTAGGCAGTGGGGGGCTTGTTAGCAAGAACAGTGGATGCAAGACCAGCCGAAGACCCTCCAGGTGGGAGCAGCCCAGCAACAACCAACACCATTTGCGGCCTTAAATGCAACAGGTACAAATGCAACAGGCACAGATGCAACAGGTACAAATGCAGGCACAAAGATACAATGCAACAGTGCAAAGTAACCACCCAGGCGCACAACTGTCTGTGGCTGCAACCACATGGTGGTGTAGCCAGTGGAGACTTCGCAATAACAGCGGATGCAAAACCGTCCAGGGCACTCATAGTGGTCAGCAGAGCAACTCCAAGCAACAGCCAACACAATTGCGTCGATTATTATTGAAGACCGACCACCACCTTGAGGAAGGCTACAGGAGGCAATTAACCATGCGATTGTCCATCTTCCCAAGTTAACTGAAGACCTTAAGAAGGCATCCTGGTTGAGTCAGCTTTGACCCGCGTCCGTCACTAAACTGCCCGCACTGTTTTTTCACTGTGAATATGCACAGGGAGTTGAGACGAAAGACTTTTGCAGTTGCAGAAGTGGGGTAGTTACAGCAGCAGAAGTAGCAGTAAGAGTCGTAGGAGGAGGAGTAGTAACAGCAGTACTGCTACTACTACTACTTCTTCTACTACTACGACTACTACTACTACTTCTACTACTGGTACTTTTACTTCTTCTCCTACTTCTACTACTACTGCTGTTACGAACTGCTGTTACTACTCCTCCTCCTACGTCTCCTGTAGCAGTAGCAGTAGCAGTAGCAGCAGTAGCAGTAGCAGTAGCAGTAGCAGTAGCAGTAGCAGTAGGAGTAGCAGAAGCAGTAGCAGTAGCAGTAGCAGTAGCAGTAGCAGTAGCAGTAGCAGTAGCAGTAGCAGTAGTAGTAGCAGTAGCAGTAGCAGTAGCAGTAGCAGTAGTAGTAGTAGTAGTAGTAGTAGTAGTAGTAGTAGTAGTAGTAGTAGTAGTAGTAGTAGTAGTCGTCGTCGTCGTCGTCGTCGTCGTCGTCGTCCGTCGTCGTCGTCGTCGTCGTCGTCGTCGTCGTCGTCGTCGTCGTCGTCGTCGTCGTCGTCGTCGTCGTCGTCGTCGTCGTCGTCGTCGTCGTCGTCGTCGTCGTCGTAGTAGCAGTAGCAGTAGCAGTAGCAGTAGCAGTAGCAGTCGCAGTCGCAGTCGCAGTCGCAGTAGCAGTAGCAGTAGCTGTTGAAATATTTTTTGAGTGCAAAACTGTTTTTGATTTGGTTTGCGTTGTTTTTGTGTTTTTTCCTGACCTCTTTTCTGGCTTCTTTATTTGTCTCTGATTTTGCTTTATGTTTTCTGAATATTTGTTGTTCTATAGTGTTGTGAATCGTTTGACCCTTGCGGCTTCTATATATTTGTGAATCGTTTGACGCTTGACGCTGGCGGCTTCTAGAGACCGGAGGTTTTGGTTTACTTTGTTATACTGCAGCTGAGACGTCGAGTTTCATGGATTTTGCAACTGATGGATTCTGCAACTGTAAGGTCTCTGTTCTGCTTCTTGCACAATTTTTTTCGGAGGCTACAGACATAGCGGGAGAGTGCTTCGCAACCCCATTTTGCCGTTAGGCAAAAAATCCAAGTCGTCCGTTCTCCAGGACCATAAGGTCAAAAGTTTGTGGGTGGTTTGGTTGCTCTTTTTGTTTTCTCATTGCACCTTGTTACTACAAGCTTGACAAGCTTCTGGAACCTTTTTCGATTACTTCGTGTACTGAGAGTCCCCATACTTCTGAGGTTGGCGTTTGTGTTCTTCGTCTCCCCTATTTTGTTGCGCTGGTGTGTTTCGTTTTCATAACATGTCCAACAGGTTTCACTGATGGGCAAAAGACCAGCTCACTGCAGGAAGGCGTGGAAGGGCGGGGGGGGCCTGGTGAGGGCGGCGGGGTTTGGGCGCGCGCTGGAGCCTCTAGAGCACTTTGTTTTCAGGAATTTCAGGTATCACAACTGGGTTTTATGTGTCACGTCCTTGAACTCGCGTTTTGACCTGTTCTTTGACAGGAGGAATTCTGTCCTTCGTCGGAAAACGCCGAGGGGAATGCTCTGGTTGCAATCACGTCCGAAGATATTTATGAAGAGTTTTGCAGATATGTCCAATGTGGAGAATTATGAAGCTATCTATTGGAACATGTTTGGAGTGAAATACGGGCTCTGTGCTCTTGAGCACAAACCTTTCTTTCAAGACAAAATTTTCGAATGACGTCTGTAAGAAAATTTTAGCTCAGCTCCACAGGAGCACCTGGGACTCCAGGAGAAGAGGTGTTGCTCCTTTTCACCAGGCACTCAGTCCCTTTGGCACAGGAGGAAGTCCCAACACGGAAAAAAAATCGAACCCCCCTCTGGTCGAGCGCCCCTAAGTGCTGCGCCTGCTTGCGCAAACGGCACCAGTGCCTGCCAACGCGAAGGGTCCTGTTTCACCCTCTAGTTCGGAGGGTTTTTGGTTCGTTTTGGTGGTTTGGCGGGTTGGGTTGTGTTGCCGCTCTCCCCGTGTCTCACTTAATGAGCAAAGACTTGCTTACTGTGCTGCTGAAGCAGTTTAAAGGCCCGCTTTAAAACGACCAACTTCCACCTCTCGTTTCTCGTTTTTGTTCATTCGAGTGTTAGAGAAGTGGAGAATTGCTGTGAATTCCGCCTGTCTTGCTCCGTGTTCATTGTTCATAGAGAAGGAGAGGAGGAGGAGCGGAGGAGCGAACCCTGGGTTCGGGAACTCTATATTGAACCCTGGGTTCGGCAACGCTATGGTTCGGGAACTCTATGTTCGAAGTCTGGGTTGAACCTCGGATTCTAAGAGTTCGAACGCTGGGTTCAACCCGTGCCTTCGGAGAGTTGGCGAACCCAGGTTTTGAACCTAGGTTCAAACACAGGTTCAGAAGCCAGGTTCCAAACCAGGGCCGAACCTAGGTGCAAAACCCAGGTTTAAACCTCACATCTGTTTCGTTTTGAAACGAAGAACTGGTTTTGTTTCTCATTTTTGAGTATTAGACGATGCACTCTGCTTTTTGTTTTGTTTTGTGCTTTTCCTCAGAACAAATCCCCTCGTTTCTTGTTTTTTTCTTGTGTTCATAATTCATACGTCAAAAAGTAGAGAATAAGAAGAGGATTAGTCGAAATTCCACCCCCCTCATATTTTGTCTGTGTTGTGCTCGTTCTTCGAAAATTAGAGGAGTAGAGACTTTTCTGACGTGATCAAAAGCGGGAGGTTGGGGGGGGGGGGGGGGGCTGCTTGTTGTTAAGCCAGCTCTGACAGCCATGGCTGCGAATATCAGAGCAGTGAGAATGATTCTAAATTCCAGGCTTGGAGTTTGTGTTCGGATTCGTAAAGCATTGAGATGCATTCGGTTCATTTGGATAATGAATGCTCGTAGATGTTAGACTGCACTTTTTGTTTGCTTGAGAAAGCTCAGTGAATGCTCTTCTCGCAAATGTCGCCCCATCTCCACATGAATGCGTGGCGTAAACGCGGCCGTGTTGGGTGCAGCGTGGTGGCGAAGCAAGTGCTTGGAAGCGCAGCTGGTTTAGAAGCCGAACGGCCTTGACAGTAGCTTGAGGCGGTGCTTGGCTCCTTTCGCGTCAGCACTGCTGTGCTTGGAGTGAAAACCTTGAGAAAGCCATTATGTTCCACCTTGAATTTAGAGTTTCTGCTTCTCTACAAAAAGATTTCTCAACTCGTTGTATCTGAATCCCTCCGCACTCGAATTCGTCTCCGGACCTTGCCGGGCGTCACTTGGGGCCCCCGGCCATGCAACAGATGCTTTGGACGGTGCGCAAGTGGTTGGTGGACTTGTTTCCTAGACTTGAGTAGGTGACACAAATGGACAATAGCGTTCAGGCCAAACATCCTACAAGAAAGGAGTGGAAAAGGTTGGACAAGCATTTGTTCTACTTCGTGTTCCAGCTGCTAGCTGTGTTTGCAACGGAAGGAATGCTGCCAAGTGCACGATTGTCGAGCAACTAGACTGTAGAGTTGTGCCTGCTTGGTCCTTAGACCTAGATGCTTCCGCTCAGCAGTTGAGTGCAGAGGGCACAAGATTTCAAAGATGGACGTGGCAAAGGGGGGTGACTGCTAGGGCAAAACCTTCGGTGTGATGTGTAGCAGGTCAGCGCCTGTTTAGCTTGTTGTTCAGTTAAGTAAGCGCTCAGCCTCCATATGTCAGTGTCCATGTTTGGACAAATTCGGCCGAATGCTTTTCGGGCGAATACGACGTCGCGCTCAAGACATCGCTGGACATAGGCTGCACAAAACGTGTGCTCAGAGCAGAGACGGCCAAGTGAGATCTCTTCAGCCCAGCTTTGGTGCTGGCCGTTCGGGTTTCGAAGACGGACCCGGCAATGGGCAACTGCTTTAGAAGGGGCTTCTGGAGGTATCTAGTCCGCGAGTTTGCTCATTGCTAAGCCATGTTAACTCTCAGCCTCCGCATGCCGGCGTCCCTTTTCGAACAAGCTCTGCCGAATGCATTTAGGGCCAATACTCACGCGATTTTGATGCTCAAACCGACGAAAAGGCCCTTGGCTCTCTTTGCAAGACTGTGCTCACTCAGTAGCTGGGATGTGTCGCTGCACTTGAGGATTCTTGACATGCACCTTCACACAGAGCAAACTTCCTCCCGCCCACGTCGGCTTAAGACGGACGCGTCCTGTAGAGAGATCCGCAATCTCCACACTTCCAACGTGCCGAAGCTGTCCGAGATGTATTCGATTCTGCTTCCCTTGCTGACTGCAACGACACGTGCTGCATGGGTGGAAGACACGTTCTTCACCGGCCAGCAGCCAAGTTGGAGGCAGAGGGCTGGCCACATGGTCTTCTGAATAGATGTGTTGAAGGCTGTCTGATGTGTTCTTCTGAAGGTGTTGGGTGTTTGATGTAGATGCGGATGCGCTTGTGTGTTTGTAGCTAACACAGCGTTGAAAAGCGAGCGGGTCTAGATTGGACACGTCGCCATCTTTCACGCACGAGCTGCTGTGGAGCCGGGGTTTAATCACAAGCATGTTTCCTTTTCACTCATTCGGTGCGTGATTCGGCAGGAAGTTTGCGATGACGTCTGATGGCTCCACGATCGCTGGTGCAGGGCACATGAGCTATTGGTTCAGCACAGACAGCGGAGCAACCTGGACAAGGCGATCTCCACTGGACGGGAAGTATGAACCCTGGGTGTGTTTTCTCAGTTGCTTTTGTTTTCTGGAGCAGGCCATCCGAGGGTCATTGGCGTTCTAGGGTAGCATCGTGATTATGGCAAGACATGCAAGCGAGCGAGCGACTGCGATAGTGCCACAGAGTGAGAGAGAAGGGTCGACGAGACAAGGAACGAGAGAGATAAAGAGTGAGTAGGCTACAGTAGGTTGCGAGAGCGCCTGGGAGGTGAAAGGAAGAGAGGCTGAGAGGGGAGACTGCATCCAAGGAAGGCATTGCCCTTTCAGCAGATGGCTCCAAGCTTGTTGCCGCTGGAATTGAAATTCAGATGTGGAAGAGCGAGGGTACCTTGGCCTCGAGTATTGCCGATGCAAACTTCCCAAGCGCAGTTCAACAGAAGCTTCGTGACCTCGCGATGTCACCGGATGGCAACATCATTGCCACTTGCCCGAAATGGTATGCTCGGTTCTTCGTTTTCTTGCATAGCCAGCCCAGAAAACAGCGCTTCACAAGGCCATGCTCGTAGTCTCCTATGCCAGGGTAAGTAGCAAGCACGCTCGGTCAGCCATTAGTCAGCCATTGCTGTGGCGCCTCGCCACCATGTAGTACCAAGCAAGTGCCGCAAGGTCACAGCTGGTGACACCAGTGATGTGGATGCGCAGACCTGGACCCAGGGCAGCTTTCGAAGCACCGACTTTGGCGCGACTTGGAACCAAATTTCGACCACCCCAATGACGGGCATCGCCATGTCGGCCGATGGCAATGTGATTGCGGCGGTGACTTCGCAAAGCAACGCGGGAGTTCGTGTGAGCACTGACGGAGGCCGCCGTTTTTCCCTTGTCCTGGACGCCTGCTTACCTCGCTGATGAAGGTAAAGCAACTTTAGCAGTTCATCTGTTGAGAAGGAATAATTGCCCAGGAAACCCCTCGGACCTAAGCAACAGATCCTTTCAACGGCAATCCCCTATAGGTGCCAACTGGGCCACCAACACGCCAAGCGAATCCACAAGCCTGATCGGCATTGCCATGTCGTCAAGCGGTTCGATTATGGCAGCCGTTGGCCATGGCAACAACGCTGGCATTTGGATCAGCAACAACACTGGCTCAACTTGGACGCAGGTTTCTTAGATGCGGAAAGCTTGTTCTGCTGCTTGTTTGTTCCCTTTGTGTTCGGCCGAGTGCCAGGCTAGAAGACCATCCCTTCCCGGGTTCGCAATCTAATCCAAGGTGGTGTCTGATTCCGGTGTTTGGGACAGTGTGTCCATGTCCGCCGATGGCTCAGTGATGGGCGCAACCAAGATGTCCTCTAAGCTTTGGACCAGCTCCGACTTCGGCGTCACCTGGGCGGAGGATGCAACAAGTCCGGTTGCCTGGGTGCAGTTTGACCGAGATCTGGAAGTGAGCGTGCGTTTCGGTGGTGAAGCGCCTCTAGGGTAAAGGCCTTGAAACCTTCAAATCCAAGGACAATGCCAAGTTCATTGCGATCTCATCCGATGGCACGAAGATGGTGATGGAGGGTGCTGGCAAGGTTCAGCTCAAGGGTTTCGCCACGCCCACGACGACGACGACCACCACCACCACCACCGCTGCCGCCACCACCACCACCGCCACCACCACCACCAGCGGAGCCGGAAACGGAGGAAGCGGCTCCACGCAGGGCGCCAATGGGAGCACATCGGCCTCGCATCGTGCAGCCCTCATCGGAGCGAGCTGCATGGCTGGTCTGGCCATCTTGGGGTGAATGGCAAAGAGGCCGATGGATGGTGATTGATTGAGAGCGGAGGGGGATGGGGGAGTGGGGGCCAGTGTCCTTTTGGAAGCAGGCTTCCTGGATCTGTGCAGCCTAGTCAGGAAGACAGTTCATGTGGGGTTGAAGCATCGTTTTGGGGATCATGTCCGCCGCCAGGTGCTCTTCCGAAGTTACAAGGTGCTGATACATGGAGATGCATGACGATTTTTCTGCTTCACATCTGACGGCGTGGCAGTCGAAACAAACGGGCCCAAACGAAGCAAACCCCTGTGGGATCGGAGCCATGCGAGTTCTAGCTGCTAGCTGTGTTTGCAACGGGACAGAAGGAAGGCTGCCACGCGCACGATTGTTAAGCAGCTAGACTGTACAGTTGGCCTTTTCGACGTTGCCTGCTTGGTTCTTAGACCTAGATGCTTCGGCCCAGCAACTGAGTACAGACGGCACAAGATTTCAAAGATGGACCTGGCAATGGGCGACTGCTAGGGAAAACCCTTCGGCGGGGTGTGTAGTGAGTCAGCGCCTGTGTAGCTTGTTGCTCAGTTAAGTAAGCGCTCAGCCTCCGTATGTCAGTGTCCATGTTTGGACAAATTCGGCCGAATGCTTTTCGGGCGAATACGCCGTCGCGCTCAAGACATCGCTGGACATAGGCTGCACAAAACGTGTGCTCAGAGCAGAGACGGCCAAGTGAAATCTCTTCGGTCCAGCTCTAGTGCTGGCCGTTCGGGTTTCGAAGATGGACCCGGCAATGGGCAACTGCTTTAGAAAGGGCTTCTGGAGGTGTCTAGTCTGCGAGTTTGTCATTGCTAAGCTATGTTAACTCTCAGCCTCCGCATGCCGGCGTCCCTTTTCGAACAAGCTCATTCCGAATACCTTTAAGGCCAATACTCACGCGACGCTGAAGCAAACCCCTGACGAAAAGGCCCTTGGCTCTCTTTGCAAGACTGTGCTCAGTGGCTGGGATGTGTCTCGGCATCAGAAAAGAGTTGCAGTCGCTCTGCAGTTCAAGGGTTTTGCTAAGCGGGCAAAAAATCTCCGAGCTGATCCACTGGTAGGGATCCTTCATTGGCCTGTGCTACGGATACGCGGCAAGTTTACCATAAAGAATCCTGGATTCGAGAAACCTAACACGTGGTAGTCATGTAAAACTTTCAATTGCCCACTCCGCTTTCAAACGTTTCATAGGCATTTCGGTCCAAACTGCCATTCATGTCAGTATGGGTGCAAATCGACACTCTCAAACAAATTTCCGGGGCAGCTTAGTGCAGATTCGACAGTGTAGATTGCGCCAACATGGGCGCAGAAGCTCGGCCTCCGCGTTATGGACCTCTTCGTCTGGTTGCAGCTGCTGCCGGGGGGGCGATATTTACTTTAGTGTTCCTGAGATCACCCTTTTCCTGCCCAGATGTGCCTGGATTAGTTTCGAGCCACAACAAGCCTGGTTCACAGCTGTCCATTCCGGCAGTCGCGGGTACGGAGGCGCCAGTCACCAATGCCGAGCCTCCGGTCACCAACGCCGAGCCTGTCTCCCTCGGAGCCAAAGCCAAGCCCGACGGTGCAGGCTGTGGGCGCGCTTGTGAAACATGCACGCAGTTTTGCTTCTTGGTTGAGGGTTTAGGGTTTTTAGGGTGTGCATTTAGAGTTCAAGCTTTGGGCCTCCATGGTTTAGGTCTTAAGCTTTAGGGCACTGGGGTTTAGGGTTGAAGCTTGAGTGTGTAGGGGGTCAGTTATCTTGAGCTGATTAGACAGCATCTCGCTTGGAACCCGAATGCTGACCACAGCCAAGGTGTGCCTTGGAACCCACACTTCTTCAACATGTTGGAGGATTGCGGCCACGTTTGCAAGATTGAGCCAGATGGGGTCAATGTGAAGAAGAGCGGGGGCAAGTTTTTCGATGAGTTTCGAAAAACGGTAGATTGCCACAAGTTGTGGTCCAGCCCGCACATGGATGTGCCAGGGGAAGGGCGGCCACCCAAGTGGCAGGATCTTCCGAAGGGGCTGAGGGAGCTCTATTCTTATGGTGGGGCTGTCGGATTTTCACCGTACTACTTCGACCAAAAGTTCTATGGAGGCAAACAACACGTGGTGGCGGCGGTTCACAACTGGACTTCGGAGGTCATCAACGACATGATTGCCCAAGCAAAAGCGCACAAGCTCAAGGGCACTTACGACGTTGGCGCAACGGAATGTTTGAGAAAAGGCATCATTGATGCTGACCTCCAGGGAAAGAGCGTTCTGGTAATTGGCTCACTCAATCCGTGGGTGGAAGCCCTGTGCCTGGCGCATGGGGCAGCTGAAGTGACGACCCTGGAGTATGCCACTCTATATTCGAGTGATGCGCGAGTGCGCACTTTGACACCCTTTCAATTGAGTGCCGCTGTGGAGAGCGGCCTGCCAAGCTTCGATGCCATTGTGACTTTCAGCTCCATTGAACACTCTGGGCTCGGACGTTACGGTGATGCACTTAATCCTTTTGGCGACTTAATCACCCTCGCTCGTGCATGGTGCCTTGCGAAGCCAGATGCCGACCTCGTGTTGGGAACGGAAGGCAGGCTAGCATCGAAGCCAACAATCTACTTCAACGCACACCGCCACTATGCAAACCTGACATACGCTCAGTTGTTTGCGAACTGGAAGCAGATGACGGTACACCCATGCTATCAAAGTGTTTTCACACTGAAGAAGCTTCCTGCTTTGTGAAGTGTGGAGAAGAAGCCAAGTCTCTGCCCTTGCCCATGTGCTGAGAAGCTCTCATGTGCACGGCTCAGTAGCATGTATGAGTCCGAAACCACAGATAGCCGCCAGCCGTTCCGCCGCGCAGTTTGGCCCCAAAGAACAACACATTCGCTTGAGGCAGCATTGACCGACGATTAACGGAGGTTACCTCCGACACATGTCCTGTTCACATACACTCGCGGCAGATGACCATGCAAGACCCCTACCCCTGCATGGCTAAGCATTGAGGCATCGCGAGACATTCAGCCTTCAGCATGACTGCATATGGCAGATGCCCGGTGTCCGCGGTTTCCAAGGCGGCTTTGTGCAGTTGTAATACTACCCGGTGCAGCTTTCGGCTTAGAGTTCAGAGTTTGGGAGTTCCGTTCGGGTGGGAGTTGGCGTTTAGGGTTTGGGGTTTAGAATTCAGAGTTTGGGCGTTTGAGTTTAGGGTTGGGGGTTTGGAGTTCAGAGCTTGGGAATTCGGGTTCGGGCTGCAGGGGTTTCAGCTTCTTGTTTTCTTTTCTCTGGAAGGAGTGGGGTTGCTAGGTTTTGGTTATGTCCGTGTAAAGGACCTGTGGCTTCGGGCGTCGACGCCTGGCGCGGGCGCTGTGGCAACCCGAGTGTGTTTTTGCAACAGGGTCCGTCCAAAAAACTAAACCCCGCACACCAAGCTCTAGAACCCAATGGCCCCTAGGCACCCACACCCCAGAACCGAAGAGGTTTAAACCCCCAAAGTCGAAACGGCCCCAGCCTCGGTGCTTCGAGCAGGGGGCTGCTTCCCCAGCCGGGCGCAGGCTTGCAGTGGGTGAGGGCTGCAAAGTGGTTTGTTTAGGAGGGCTCCTAGGGTTTGAGGGGGTCTGGGGGCTCGGCCCCGCCTTTTGGTGTAGGCTCCCGGGATTCGGGCAGTTGGGTTTTTTCAGAGGGTTGTTTGAGTCGAGTAGTAGTTGGGGGTCCTTACAGCCCGAAAGCCTAAACCCTACGCTGGTACTGGGTTCTCTAAGGGAGCTTGGGGCTTGAGTGTGTTTAGGGTCTATGGCTGACAAGATTTGGGGATTTGGGTTGAAGAGTAGGGTTGTGGGCTGTTCTTGGGTTGGTGGTTAGCAGGGTTTCTGGCTTCGGGGAGGGACCTAACTCTGGAGTCGAAAATCCAAACTTCAAAGGACCCAGGCCCGTGTACCAAGTCCAAATGCATCCGACCCATCCTCGCTCAAAGATCCGTGACATCCGCAGCGGCTGCTGCTAGTGCTGCTACTGCGGCGGCGACTACGGCTGCTGCTACTGTGGCATCTTTTTCTTGCGTTGCAGGGAGAGCACAATGTAGTTTGATTCTCGATGGCCTTTTCAATGTCACCGTGGATTGGGCTGCCAGTGACAGTTTCAAGCCAAAATTTTATGCCAACAACTGCTCATCATCCGCCATGTTGCAATTCTGCTTCTCGGAGACGATGTCTTCGCCTGCTTTGTACATCCGAAGGCTCCGCCATTCTCATCCGATGTGAGAGGGAAAAGCCACCGGGACCCTGGAGCATGTTCTGTTTTGGGTCGTGTGTTGGGTCAGGGATGAGGATGGATGAGGCAAGAAGGTGGCAATGAGAGGTTGGGGAATCCGATTCTGAGGCGATTCTAAGACGACCCACTTTCTTTCAAATAGGTAATTCATGTTGTTAATGAACTATACTATAATCTTTTATAATCTTGTAATGATTGCTGTTCCTTGTCCGTGGCTGGGCTCTTTGACGGCTCGCCGGCCAGCATGGTGCCCAAACCTGACAATGTCTTATGGCCACTTATGAATTTCCTAGAAGAGTCATTTGGATTCACACATGTAACATCTATATATATATATATATGCCAAATGCATTTTAGTAACATAGCACGCACTTTCGTGGCTACCACATTTTTTGGTGTAGGACCGCAGGCCCGAAGTAACAATCTGAATAGAAATGGGTAGGGCGGAGGGACACGACGAACCTTAGGTGCCTTTTCAATGAAACTGGATCAACAATATTCGAATCAAATGAGAAAAGAGCTCTATTTTCGGAGGGAGGGAGGGATTACGTATTGCGACTGATTATTATGAGATTCTGATTCTAGATTGAGAGGAAATCTTTTTATAATATCTATTTATTGAATTAATATATATATATATATATCAGATCATATTCAAAATTAATTCATTAGGAATAAATATTGAATTTGAAATAAGATATAATAATAGATTCGCAAGGGAATTTTTTCCATTAAATTCTTATATCGAATAATTTCACGAAACGGATTATTTATATCTCAATTCGGAAAAAGGATGATATGAATACATTATAATAATTGAATTTAGAAAATTATGAAATTATTTTGAATATTATTGTTGCTATGATGAA